GTGTATATATCGTATTACATAAAATATAATAAAATGTTATTCACGGAATCTATATACAGAATCGTCGTTCTGCTGAGGACAACTCCAACGGAAAAAGCAACGAAAGTGATAATAAAGATAATGGAGCTTTGGCTAATGCACCTTTCAATGCTTCTAATATTATTAAAGAGGTGGAGAATGTGATTCACTCCGTACAACAAGCAGTTGCGAATGAATTACAGACAGTTGCGAACAAATCTTTGGAAATCTGGAAAAACGTGAGAAAGGAAGTCGAACAGAATAAAGAGCATTGCAGCGAGATCGTCCATAACGCTACAGAAATTTTGGGAAACCATTTGAATGAACTTAAGAATGAAACCGCTAACGCTCTTGAACACGTAAGGGAAATCGCCAAAAACGAGATAAGCAATGTCAAAGATACGCTTGAACATGCTTCCGAAAGCTTGAGAAATGATTTTGCAAAGATTAGAAACGATACATCTGGCGTTGTGAATGACGTCCATGAAAAGCTCCAAGGACTTATTAAAAGAGGTGTCGAGGCCTTGAAAAATGCAACTAGTGATTTAGAAAATGCGGTAAATGAAGCCAGGGACGAAGCTCACAAGATTCTGGACGATGTGAGGCAAGCTGCGTCGGAGGATCTGCAAAAAATCAGGGAACAGGGTGAAAAGCTTTTGCAAAATGCGAAACAGGATATCCAACAAATAAACGGAGAAGTGATCAATATTGTGAAAAACGTAACAAACTCCTTGGCTAACTTGAGGAACGAGACACGTAATATTTTTACCAATACTACGGAAACGATAAGGAACGCGATAAAACAGATCAGAGACAGTGCCACGAGAATCGTAGGCGAAGTTATACAAGGTGTGAATAATACAGTGCAGGAAATTAGGGAAGAAGCGCGCCAAATTGCAGAAGATATTAAAGAAGATGCCGGAGAGATCAGAGAACAAGTTGGAAAAATCGTAAAAGAATTAGAATCGAATTTATCGCAGGCCGTCAATCAAACTACCACTGCTTTACACAAAGCTGCAGAAAATCTTAGAAACGAATTCGAGCAAGCCATTGATGATAGTTTGAAGATCGCGGGTCACATAAGGGACAATATATCGTCTTTTATTGAAAATTTAAAGAATACTACATCCAACATCATTGACAATGTTAAAAATAATATTGCCAAAATCAAGTCTCAAACTGGAGAATTATTGAAGAACGTCACACAACAATTCGAACAGCACATGAAACAGGCAGAGGAAGACGTCTCCAAAGCTGTGAGTGATATTAAAAACAAAGTGGAAGACAAAGTTCATGAGATTGAGGATAAAATTAATGATATAGAACAAGAAGCTTCGCAAGTGAAAAACGCCATCGGAGAAACAGTGAAGGAAATCGTAAAAAATGTTACCAATGTTGTCGGCGATTTGGAAGATGCCGCAAAACATACATTGGAAGGTGTTAGGAACCGAACTCATGAGCTTGTGAACAATTTGAGAAATATCACGGAAGAGAAAGTAAAGGAAGTGATACAGGAGACCGGGAAAATCGTACAAGAGGCGAAAAATAATACTGAAGAGATTGCGAATAAAACGACCAACGCTTTGAAAAACATAGCGTCCGGACTGAAGAACGAAACTGATCAACTCATTAAACATTCCAAAGAGATTATCCATGACGTAATTAATCATACTAAAGAACAAATTGCAAATATCACACAAAATGCTAGAAACGTTACGCAACACGCTGTAGAGGAAGCTAAAAAATTGGGTACCGAATTTGCGGACAATGTAAGGAATGCCATCAACAGTGTTAAAAACGATGTTCACTCTGTGATACAAAATGTAGCGAACGAAACCAAAAATATCGTCGGTAACATTATTGAAAACATTCATAATATTGCTCAAGGAGTTCATAATATCACTTCCGGCATCGTCGAAAATGTGAAAGATACAATAAAGAATGGAGTGAATTCTGCGGAGGATAACGCAAAGAAAGCGATGCACGGAGTCGGCGATACAATACACAACGTTGTCGGCACAGTACACAACGCTACGAATAATGCGAAACACACAATTGGGAATATCATAGGTAACATAAAGTTATTTCCTGAAAATTAATTAATTATTATTATTACAATATGATCCAATCGAATTTCTTGACAGAAAATTGACCTTTTATTAGATAACTGATTTAAGAATAACATAAATATCAATTTTTATTACAGGCAATGTAAACAATGGAATAAAAGATACAATTGGAAGCTTTGTTAATCATCAACCTAAGGTAAATATAAATTTTTCAAATTAATACGATGTATGTACTATACGAAGATATTTGAATATTATGTAATATTTTACATTATAAAAATTCAGTTTCATTTCTATATTTTAT